TAAGACATGAAGTTGAGTATGCCTGTTATACTTAAAAGTGCTGCCAAACGCACTCATCCTAATCCGAAAGATAGACGACGCATCGCTATGCGCTACGACGCCGCCCACAAACGGTATGGGTGTGCGATGTCCACGAGAAAGCCGTATTGCTACAACAAACCCGCTTACCATCGGCACTAAGATCTTGTTAATTGTATACCTCCATCGATCAGAACCACAAGAATAGTAATAATAATAATAATCTTTATTTCTCTCTACAATTGCAGTTTATAACATCATTACATCTAAAATTTTTTAAGTTACTTACAAATGCTAGTTGTGGAGACTGGTGACAATACTAGGATTACCTGTGCTACAGCCACCAGGCCTCCACCACCGGACAAATAATCATGGAAAGTATGTACTCATGAGAAGTGTATTTCAAAAGTGGTATAAAATAATTTTAAAAAGAGAAAATTAAACAAAAAGAAATTGTGTATGTATGTGTGTGCGAGTGTGCATTAGTGTGTGGTGCATGCGTGCGTGCGTGCGTTTGTGTGTGTGTGTGTGTGTGTGTGTGTGTGTGTGTGTGTGTGTGTTTTGTTTTGATAAGAGCCTCACTATCATCATAGTCTTTAGTCAGTAACCACGTTCTAATAGTAAATTTGCAGTTACCTCTTTGCGAATGCTGTTCTAAATTTTTGGTGGACACAAACAATATCCTTTCTCCGTACACGTTGTGTCGAAGGGTCATAGGCGGTATTAGAATGTTGTTGTAGGACAGTGTACAATATAAAGATTTGACGAACCGTTAGTATTTTCCATTCCTTGTATAAATCCCTGGTCGGGTAAAGGAAATGGTGAAACTTTGCCACTTTTAGGATGGCTCTTTGGGCCACCTCCAGAGACATTACATAGGATTTAGCTGCACCTCCCCATACAGAAATACAGTATGTGAATATGGATTGACAAAGGGCGAAATATACGGCGCGTATAATTTTATATTCAGCAATTTGGCGAAGTATTCTAAAGACGTATATGAGTTTACGTGCACGAGCCGTAAGTTGCTCAATATGAGGCCTAAAAGATAGATTCTGGTAAATAATTATTCCAAGGTATCTAATTTTGTCAACAGTTTCTAATCCGGTACAACTATTTCGCTTATAGCTCATACCTGCGATCTGCATTTAGCAGATCGCAGGTATGAGCTATAAGCGAAAGGTTTTCTCCTAAGGGGAGAGAGACATTACGGATTGTAAAAGTTACGTATTTAGTTTTGTCGATATTAATCGTAAGCAAGTTCCCACTTAGCCACTAAAGAACTTTATTTAATCCAGATTGTGCACAAGAAAACGTATCTTTCCAATTATCACCGCTGAAAACCAAAGCTGTATCATCCGCAAACGACAAAATTCTCCCATTAGATACCTTTATGGAACACAGATCATTTATGTAAATCAAAAATAAAGTAGGACCTAGTATACTGCCTTGAGGTATTCCATACGTTATTGTTTTTTCATCACTGGTATGCTCTCTTATTTTAATGCATTTTGTTCTACCTGTGAGATAACTTTTAAACAGATCTAGCTGTAAATTCCTGACACCAAGCCCCCTCAAGTTTATTTATCAAAAGTGGGACAGAGACAGTGTCAAACGCCTTAACTAAGTCCAGGAATATCGCGAGACACTTTTTACCGTCATCCATCCCCCGAACTATACGATCTATGAGCTCGTAAACCGCATCATCTGTAGACCTGCCAGCACGAAAACCATATTGTTGCTCTGAAAGAAGCTTGTTTGTTTCAAGGTAGTTCACAAGTCTTTTGTTAATAATGCGTTCCAGAATTTTTGATAGAGATGTTAAAATTGATATGGGTCGGTAGTTTGAGACAATACCTCTATCACCACTTTTGAAAATGGGACGGATAATACTTCTCTTAAAAGCGCGAGGAAAGATGCCAGTGTTGCAAAGGTATGTTATCGGGGGGAACAAGTATGTCTCTGTGGGTCTTTAGCAAGTCACCTGATATACCGTCCCATCCTGTTCCACAATTGTTTTTAATGACATAATTAGATTATGTACTTCCTCGTAATCAGTATCTAGCATAACAAATGATTTACTTGTAGTTTGATTTATATCAGGTTTATTGTAATTACTTATCAAAATTTTGTTAGCTAATTTCACACCGACGTTAGTATAATATTTATTAACTTCATTAACAGATTCTACCGGAGTGGAAAGGTGTCCCAGCAAATCGTTTGCCTCTAAACTATGCTTATTGAGATGTGTTGCACATTTTACTACTTCCCATATCTTTTTACTGTTATTGCCGGCTTTTTGAAGTTCACTGCTTTGATACTGTATTTTAAGTTTTTTTAAAAATATCATTACAGAAATTGCGATATCTACGATATGTTATTTTTAGGTTTTCATTATCGGGTGTTAGTTTAAGTTTTTTCTGTAGTTTATCATGATTTATCATGCATCTTAAGATTCCAGGAGTTATCCATGGCTTTAATGTGGCTTTACGATGGGACAATCTTATATTTTTAGTGTTGTTTTCCAGTGCTTTTGATAAAGTTTCTACTAAGAAATTTGCTATATGCTATATAATAAAAACTGCTTAAGACCAACGTGATCAATTTTTCGAATAAATCTGTTAAAATAGCATTTAGGTTGATGGATTTTAAGACTAAGGCTTACAGCTTCATGATCAGTTAAACAAGTTTGTATAACAAATGATTTAGTGGGCTGACGTGTTTTGAGTAATAAATGATCAATACATGTGAACATTCTAGTTGACGACGTAAAAGCTGGAAGAAGTCCATGGGATGCTGTTAAATTTAAACATTGTTCGGCTTGTTGGTTCATATTATCAGAGGAGATATCTATATTAATATCGCCCATTAGAACGATATTTTTGAACCATTTTAGTTCAGTGAGAAGTTGGTTCAAGGATGAAAAAAAATTGTTGCATCGTTTTTAAAGCAGTATGGACGATAAATTCCTATCACTACTGTATGTCTTCCAAATTTAATTATCAAGCAGTTAGCTTCTTGGAAAGTAGGCTCGTCAATGGTGCATTTCAAGTTATCTTTAATATAGATCAGCACTCCGTCGTTCTGATTGTAAGTTTGTTTCGTGGCATGAGAAGAATACGATTCTAATAAAGGTATTGGACCAGAGCAGGACAGCCAACATTCAGTCAAGATAATTAAATCAAAAAGGATGCATATATCCTTTTTTATAAGCACAGTTAGACCATCAAAGTTTCGTTTTATGCTTCGAATATTTTGACATAGAATATTTGTGTAGTTTTTTTGGTTGACTTATTATAGGGCATACATCCTCAAGATTGCAAATATAAAATTCTGAATTTGTAATATCATCTAGATTATTTGATATTTCATTTATGTTAGCGCCTTTTATGTATATTTATTAATAGGTGACGAAATGATTGCAACCACGTCATACTATTAGTTTTAAGATGGCCTAATATTTTATACCGCATCATATTATTAAGGTTATGATAAAATATTTTAAATCCTAACGTATAAATAATCAAATAGTAACAAGTTATTTCATACAATATTATTTTTTTACATTGAATAAAACTATTATTTACGGATTTTATCGCGTTTAATTACTTTAATTTATTTTTATATTATCCCGACATTTCGGGTGCTTTACAGCGCCCATGGTCACGGGGGGGGACTGAGATGTTTGACGTCCCAATGTCATAGTTAGTCCGGCTACCTTCAGTTTTTTAATATTAATTTTTGGTCCGATTTACGCAAAACGAGCTTATAGTATCATGAAGTCTTGCAGTGGTATGCTTGGGTTTGGGTTTAATTTTGTTAATTATAGGATCCCAAGCAGATGGTAGCACCCAACCATCTTCTCTATTGAAATTTGGATGTTTTTTAATTTCAATAGCTTCGCGTATCATCCTTGGTAGGAATCGGTGTTCTTTTGCGAGAATTTGTGGTTTATCAAATCTAATGTAATGGTGGGGACGATCTTGAACATGTTCGCAGACTGCAAACTTCCCGGAGCGTCGGTGCTTCACATCAGCTATATGTTCCTTCACGCGGGTTTTTATAGATCTCTTTGTTTGACCTATGTAAGAGAGACCACATTCACAATCTAGCTTATACACACCTGCATCTTGTAGAGGAATATTACATTTGATGGATGGATGGTAAATCCGTAAATAATAGTTTTATTCAATGTGTAGTGTTCGCGTAAATTTAAGAAATCATTATTTTTTTACAGTTCATCACAATGTAAAAACTGTGAGACTTATTATTATTTGTGTTGCATAGTCTTTGTTTAGTAAGTAAGTGAGTAAATTGTGATTGTTGATTAAGTTTGATCTTAAGTAAACAAGTTGTGGTATCCATTAAATGATTGTGTGTTATGTGTGGGAGTGTATATGAAATAGTGTAGGTTATGTTTATTAAAAAAGAGGATAGCTAAGTGTATATTTTCTTAAACTTAACTAATTTAACATAAGTGTATTCTAGGATAACTAATATTATAAAACATCTTACGTCTAGTCACTTAGTATTTTTAAGTTCGGAGAGCTGGGATTCATTTCTTATGAGAATGTGTGGATCTCCTTCTTTACGGCGCAAGTACACATTGTCGTTTGATGTCCAACAGTATGAGTAACCCATAGTTTTGGCTATATCTCTTGCAAGGAAGCCTTTTAGATTTTGTTATCAGATGTTCACTTACGTAAATTGATGATTTAACATTCATAATTCCCATATGATTACAGTTAAGCGAGTCTTTAGGATTGTCTTTAATATAGCGTTTTACTGCATCAATTATCTGACTTTTATGTAGACTACTCCCTAACTCAGCTACGATTGTGGAGGATGTTGCATCAGCCTTGCTTGGCAGACGATAAACATCACGAAGATTATTTTGTTCCATAGATACATTTAATTTCGTGATTAGGGTGTGTGCATATTTGAATAAAGTCTCCCTATTTTCGCCTCTTATTTTCGAAACATTACTCAATACTCGTATTGCGAATGTATTTCTCCAAGGCATCGAATTTGGTACTTATTGTATTTATTTGTGACTCAAGTGCTTTGCGATCCTTTTCTATGTCGGAGACATCTTTTTGCAGGTTATCTTTTTTGTCTGAGACGAAATTTATGGACTTTTCTATTTCCGAATTGGTTTGTTGTATGTTTACATTTTGATTTGTGACAAGTGCTAGTTTTTTTTCTATATTGTCTAATCTTGCATTTTGATTATCAACAAAGGTTTTCAGCATTGTCTTGAGCTCGTTAATAGCATCCGTAGAGACTATTTCGGTTTCGTTACCAGCGTCGCTAGTTCGGCGCCGTTTATTTTCTCGTTGTGTGATATTGGAAGACGCTAATTCAGGGTTAGAGGCAGTTTGCAAAGTATCACAAGGTGGTGGTGATCTAAGCATTTTAGGCATAGGTGAAAGCGGTCTTGACGATAGATAGTAAGTAAAACCGCCAGAAGAGTATTCGAAGAACATTACTCACTTAATAGGAGTTAAAACTTAGAAGAATCTTAAGAAATGACACATTCAGACACTAGGAGCACAGATACTTTAGTTGGTATATTTGAAGTAAAAATCTCAGGATATGTTTTATGATGTATAATGAATAATCGGCAACGTTTATCAATAATATTCCAAAAGGGGTACAAGGAATACAGATATTGTAAGAGATATTTTCGTTTTCTGTACCTGTTGTTTATTCTTAATGTCATTCCATATGCAACAGAATTGTACCAGGATAACAGAAGCACAATAGAGTAGTGAGAAATCGTTTTGCCAAAATGTCCGGTCCAATGTCAACAGAAATATATTATATAGTACCAGGATAGTATAAAAACTAAAGATTTAATTCTTCGATGTGCACAAGCACGCTTCTGTAGTGACGAAAGTATTGTTAGATGACACGATATAATACTAGGCGAGCAGAAAGTAGAGGAGGTAAAATCAATTCATACAGCCACCGCTCAAAGCAAGTCTCTTGACGTTACTGTTGTCCTCAAAGCGGGTATGATAAATAGAGGTTATCTCGCTTATTCCCTTTACTATTAATGTATTATTTGAGTAGGTTTATTGTACGTACTTATTTGGCAAAATTGATGTAATCCGTCGTGTTATATGCGTTGTCTCGTAGTTAACAATCCTTTTACTCCTGTGTTTTTATGCACTCCTATTATTGCGTGAGGTATTTAATATAAGAAGTTTATTTACTTTAGTTAATTTTGTTTAACACGGAACTGTGGAATACGTGCGCACTACTCAGCGCTCCGGGGGGAAGGGAAAGGTGTGAGTCAAACCAAGACGCAGAGAGCGCCATTGAGAATAGCGTCCCACCAAACAACCATCGCAGAGACGCAATGCTGCAAAACACAACAAGCCATCAATACGAATATCGTCGGGCTTACAAAATCCCAAGGTCCCCCGTACATCCCATCACCACCCGCATACCTCCATCGACGAGAACCACAAGAATGCGTCGAATCAGGCGCAGCACACCCGAAGATCCATTACAAGACGCAATACCGCAAGTAGTAGTAAGCATCAATGCAACTATCATACGGGTGGCGCCCCCTCATAACACACCCACATGATCCCTATCGATTTTGGTAACAAAGTTTGTATTGTTGTTAACTAAAAAGTATCACCAACGTATCATAGTAGTACGCTACTAAGACGCCAATGAACAAAACTCCACGTATCATAGCACTAATGCACTAAAACATGAAGTTTAGTATGCCTGTTACACATAAAAGTGCTACCAAGCACACTCATCCCAATCCGAAAGATAGACGACGCATCGCTATGCGCTACGACGCCGCCCACAAACGGTATGGGTGTGCGATGTCCACGAGAAAGCCGTATTGCTACAACAAACCCGCTTACCATCGGCACTAAGATCTTGTTAATTGTATACCTCCATCGACCAGAACCACAAGAATGCGTCGAATCAGGCGCAGCACACCTGCAGATCCATCACAAGACGCAATACTGCAAGTAGCAGTAAGCATCAATGCAACCATCATACGGGTGGCGCCCCCCTCATAACACACCCACATGATCCCTATCGAATTTGGTAACAAAGTTTGTATTGTTGTTAACTAAAAAGTATCACCAACGTATCATAGTAGTACGCTACTAAGACGCCAATGAACAAAACTCCACGTATCATAGCACTAATGCACTAAAACATGAAGTTTAGTATGCCTGTTACACTTAAAAGTGCTACCAAGCACACTCATCCCAATCCGAAAGATAGACGATGCATCGCTATGCGCTACGACGTCGTCTACAAACGGTATGGGTGTGCGATGTCCACGGGAAAGCCGTATTGCTACAACAAACCCGCTTATCACCGGCACTAAGATTGTTGTTATATAAAACTGCACCAACGTATCATAGTAGCACGCTACTAAGACGCCAGTGGATAAAACTCCACGTATCATAGGTCTGATGCACTGAGACATGAAGTTGAGTATGCCTGTTACACTTAATAGTGCTACCAAACACACTCATCATCCCAATCCGAAAGATAGACGACGCATCGCTATGCGCTACGACGTCGCCCACAAACGATATGGGTGTGTGATGTCCACGGGAAAGCCGTATTGCTACAACAAACCCGCTTACCACCGGCACTAAGATGATATGTCTAGGACACTTCGGTTAGCGAGCCCAAGTTTATCTCGGACCAATTGCTCGTGAAGCAGCATACACGCCACCATAATATTCCTTTTCAAGTCCCTAATAAGGACTAGTCATTTTGCTACAGTACTAGGAGCAGTCGGTCACCCAACCATCCCATACAATGCTTATGCATCAAGGAGACCTATAATAATACTTTTGTATCATAGACCTTATTTTCATAAGTCATTCATATAGGGCTCGAACCCACGACCCTACTATTGTAATGCAAATTCATCATAGAGACCTTCTATAGTACTGCTTTTGTATCATAGACCTTACTTTCATAAGTCATTAATGTATAGGACTTCAACCCACGACCCCACTATTGTAATGCAAATTCATCATGGAGACCCTCTACAGTATTGCTTTTGTATCATTGAGTTTAATATCATAAGTCCCTAATATAGGACCAGTCATTGTGCTACAGCACTTCAAGCAGTCGGGCTCCCGACCACCCCATATATATGTACAACTGCAGGTATGTATCTCCGGCAGCTCCTCCATACAAGACAATCTATACATGAACACTTTCCATAACTTAGGAAAATTTTCTTTTATACATGAACTCCTTCCACAACTTAGAAAAATTTTCTTTTATACATGAACTCCTTCCAAGACTTAGACCATTTTTAACAAATTTTCTAATTATCTTGTAAATGTTACTTATCTTTATTTTTATAATATTTTCGACTTGTATTTCTATTATTTATCTTATTTTAAATATTTTTTCAAGTTTTTAAATAAATTTATTTATTATGAAAGACAATATTTTTCCTTTAATTTACTATGTTATTGGTCTAATGTCTGAAATGTATTTATATTAACTTTATGTTTATTAATGTAATTTTATTGCTTAATATATATATATATATATATATATATATATATATATATATATATATATATATATATATGTATGTATATATATATATATATATATATATATATATATATATATATATATATATATATATATATATATATATATATATTTAAGACTATTTTGATACCCCTTTATATTGAATTTAATTATTAATAATAATATTGGGCCATCGCAATTGCATTTACCCAAAATATTCCAACGATTGATGTTATGTTATAGGTGGTAGGCATCTACTATAGTGTATCGATCTAAAGGCCAAAAAAGCCAGTGTTATAGTCGTACAAGTAGTGGGCATGAGGTATTTTATTTAAGTGCTTAAGGATAACAAAAAAATCGGGTTGAAAGATCAACTAACATTTGTGGTAAAATAAAATCTCCTATAGATGGGTTGGTATATGCAAATTGTTGCTGTAAATGTAACTTTGTAATGAATATTTTTTTCAGTGACTATTTCTTAATGTGTGATACAGATACAGATTTTGTTATTTTTCAAATTTCATGATTCAAGATTAACGAGAAGTACTCTACCGTCTTTGATTTTTTTTTGAGTGAGCTTGCGAGTATCACTGTAAACATAAACGACCGTATCTTTTTAATGCTTTGACTTAATAGACGCTTGAAATTTTCATCCAGGATACCGCAGACCTCAGTTTTCATTAGACATTGAAAAAGATGTGTTTTTATATTTTATATTGGGGTGATAAAAGAGCACACAGTTCACCTGAAGGTCAATGGATGCTGTGGCCCATAGACATCTACATTCATCTTCAACGCAGGATCAAAATGCAAATGCGTTTTCAACCCTGAGGACTATGATGGAATGTCTTGCTTTCAGTTAAAAGGGTCTCCGATTCCCTACAGTCACTACACGAAACATTAATTGATTTAAGAGCATTAGCAGCAGCATTAGGCTGATATTTTAAGCTAGTATTCTGTGAGAGCATGGTCCTTCCACAGTTAAGCTGACCCATTCGTGCTACAACGATAATAAAGCTGCAGCGCGGCTCTACGTCGTAATGAAGTGATCTTATAAGGGTTCCCCATTTTTTTCCTTAAGTATGGAACTCTTTAATTCGAAAGTACTTTACTTTACTTTACTTATCTTCACGCACAATCCCTAACGGGGTAGCCAGAGAGAACAGATCGCCAAGTGTCACGATCCTTACATACCTCTTTCGCTTCTTTCAGGTTCATTAACTTCTTCATACATGCACGTCTAGGTATCCGAGTACTCTTGACCCTCCCCTCTTCGAGCAATTTGCTCACATGGTCTTCGAAAGTTAGTCTCGGTCTACCTCGACACCTTTTAATATTTACTTTCGCTCTATATATTTTCTTCACCATTCGGTCTTCACTCATTCGTTCAACGTGCCCAAACCATTGGAGTACGCCCCTATCAATTTTTGTGATAAGGTCATCTTTCAATCCTGCCATATTGCGAATCTCTTCGTTTCGCTTTCGGTCGGCTATGGTAACGCCACAAATTTTACGAAGAGATCGCATCTCCACTGCATTCAACTTGCTTTTATGCTTCTTCTGGCATACCCAGGTTTCGCTGCCATATAACAAAGTCGGTACCAACACTGCGTTATGTATTGCAAGGCGTGCACTCCTCACCACGCCTTGCCTTTTTACTAATGCATTCAGGGCACCATTGACTTTTGTTTCCGGCAGCGACACGCCTATCCACATCTAAATCACATCTTCCATCCCGGCTGAAAGCACTCCCCAAGTAAACAATTTCATTTACCTGTTCTAGACATTCCTGATTTACCCATATTTCACATTTCGTTCTCTCTTCGTCCTTTTCAAATACCAGAACCTTAGTTTTATTAGCATTCAAACGGAGACCTTTAATTTCACATTCCTCTTTCATACACGTGACTAATGCCTGCAGTTCTGCTTCTGATGG